AGTTTATCTTGAATATATAAAATATATATTTTATAGGATTTTTTATACAAGTGCCTATATTTCTTTTCTTGCAATTCATTTTTAGTGTACATATGATTATTATATTATTATATTTTATGTAGAAAATGACTAGGGTATCCCGAACTCTTAATTGATAATTTATAATTTTTATATCTCTACATTTTTAATTAAAAATTGTATATAGATTTTACTACATCATTATTCTTCTATCCATTAAAGATGCACCCATTGTGAACCTGAACTTGGGCGCGCCGCTCGATGCCAACAACTTGCTGAAAGGCTCCGATGTGTACCTCGAGTGCGATGTGCGTGCCAATCCCGCCATAACGCGCGTCGAGTGGTATCACAATGTAAGTCCGTCTAGCAGTCTAATAAAGTAATATGCTCTGAATGTCTATCTCCCTGCCTGCCCCTCCCGCCCCCAGGATAAGCAGCTGCACTCTTCACGCGGCATCATCATCTCCAATCAGACGCTGGTCCTGCAGGGTATCTCGAAGTCGTCGCATGGCCAGTACTTCTGCCGCGCCACCAATCTGCAGGGCAGCGTGTCCAGCAACGAGGTTTACCTGGACGTCAAATGTAAGTGACCGACACGAGCCGACAGTACTTGACCGAGCACTCGACTCAAGCCTGCACTGCTTTTCGTGCCCTTGCTCCTACTTTGCAGATCCGCCCGTGTGCAAGTCCGACTCGACGATTATACGCGCCGCACTCAAGCAGACAATCAACATTACCTGCGAGGTGGACGCCAATCCACTCGATAATCTAAATTACAAGTGGCACTTCAACAACTCGCTGGAGAGTCTCATCGAGCTGCCGGTGCTGGCGCAGCTGGCGCCCGCGACGCTGCCCCTGCAGCTGCCATCGGGCGCTTCCGGCGGATATTATCAGCGCAGCAAACGGAAGCACGCACATGGCGGCCAGCGACTGCTGCACGGTCGCCATGGGCGCGTGGCCAGCATTGTGGACATGACAGCCGCCGTGCGCTTCGAGGATGACTACGACCAGGACCTGGAGGACCATGAGCAGCAGCTCGACAGCTATGCGGACTACGCGGAGCCGCCCTACACCCAAATGGTCTACTCGAACATGGTGCACAAGAACCACGTGGACGGCAAGCAGCCCCAGCGCAAGCAGCCCGCCCCACAGCTGCAGCCGGGCGAGGCGGGGGCCCATCACATCAGTGCGGCTAGCGCTGGACAGCTGGCCGAGCGCAAGCGCCTGGCAGCGCTGCACAAGCAGCAGCATCACCGACAGCTCCTGGCCACGCCCACCACTACAACGGCGCCCCCGCTGAACAATGTGTACAGCTATCATGTGGAGAGCTACGAAAGCTTCGGCGCGATTTCGTGCGTGGCCAACAGCCCCATGGGCCACAGCCAGCCCTGTTGGTATCACATCCAGCCAGCAGGTGAGTGCCTCTGCTGACTTATCTGGCCAGTCAATCGGTCAATCGGTCAGTCAGTCAGTCAGTCAGTCAGTCAGTTAACTTCAAATTGAAAAACCAACAAATATCTCTTAATTAATTTCGCAACGTGCATTGCAACACACGCGGACGTGCAAGATGTTTACCCAATTGTAGCTGCTGCGGTTGACAGGAGTCTGGTTTGAGTCTCGGCTCGGGGTTGGTGTTGGTGTTGGCTTTTGGGGTTGGGCTTGTGGCCAGTAGTTAATTGTTGCACGTATCGCGGCCAAGTGGCAGCCATTTGGTGCGTGAATCTCTATTTACATTTTGCTGCTGGAAAATATTGCAACGCTGTGGCAATTTTACGCGTCGCAATTGTTTGTCGTTTGGCACAGCAGCTCGTTCAGCTGTCCGTGTGTCCGTGWGTCCAGCTGTCCAGCTGTCCGGCTGTCCCTGGCTGCAATAAAAGCCACGTTTACCAACAGTCATGTTGCTGCTGCAGCTGCTGCTGCTGCTGCTGGTGTTGATGCAGCCAGCTTCAATCTGTGTCGCCAATAATCTGATAATCAAATGCAATAAATTGCGAGGCGCATCATTTATTTACCTATCGCCAWTGGCTGTTGCCGTTGCCGTTGCCGTTAAATTAAAATACACAATGACCATGGCCTGCAAAGAGGCCAACACGGATAGTCGCACAGCAGCGAAATTTAGTGCAAAAATACGTACGTAAATTCGGAATAATTTAAGCTTAAAGCTTATTCAATTTCCCATCACTAGGTAAAAGGTGGAGCAGGCTAGAAATTTATTGGTTTCATTCTATTTTCGCCCCATGACAGCTAATCAAATCCGATGGCTAAAACTGTCTACAAAATGGATTTCTAATTTTAACGTTTTATTAGAAAATTGATATCCGGCGTACATGCTGTGAGGCGGKTTCCGCCTTCCATAGAACGGGAGTTCCTTCCATACAATTAACTGAAATAGAATGCTTCTATATGTAGATGTACTCATATGTCATTAGTGAAATATATTAAGCACTCTCAATTAACTTGTTATTTTACCATTAATAATTTTCCATTTTCCATTTCCCCGCCAGATCTGCCGGAGCCGGTTAAGAACTGCACGGCGTATAATGCGACGGCCAACTCGTTGCAGATCCAGTGCGTGCCCGGCTATGATGGCGGCATTCCGCAACATTTCCATGCCCAGGTGTACGACGAGCTCACCCGCCAGATACTGTACAATGCCTCCTATAAGTATGCGGACTTCACAGTGAAGCGCCTGCCCAGCGACTCGGCGTTCAACATTCGGGTAACTGCTGTCAATGCACAGGGCTCCAGCAAGGTGGCATATCGCGTGCGTGGACGCACACTCTCGGCGCCCCTCCTGCGCACAGGTAAGACGTGGCGCCATGAATAAGTCAACAGTTGAGCCACCTGCTCGGGCTTTTGGCATTTTCCATCGCACTCATTTGCATCGTTTTACTCATGCAACGTATCTCTCCCTCTCCCTGTCTCTGTCTCTCTCTCTCTCTCGTTCTTGTTGCAGCTTCCTCGACTGCGGTGCTGGTGCAACTGACACCGCTGCTGGGGGCGCTAGTTGGCGTCATTGCGACACTCTTTCTGGTGGCCATTTGTGTTGTGATCTTTATTAAATTCCGCAGCAAACAGAGCCGGCGGCATGCGAGCGGCGATGCGACCACAACAGAGGCGGACAAGGGCAGCGCCGAGCCCCTGTCCCGCAACATGGGCAGCCATTCAAGCTTGGAGGACAAAAACCCGGACGTAGTGCCGCAGGAGGCCAACAGCGAGGACGAATTCCACCTAGAGGAGAAGGCATTCGACCGCCTCAATATGGAATCACAGCGCATTCTCTACACGCCGCCCGCGCGCATCAACACCGCCTCGCCACCGCCGCCCTCGCTATCGCCCACATTCGGCAAACAGGTGAGTGCCGCCATAGAAACTAACATTAGCCAAAGCGCATGGCAAGCCTTTGGCGTTTATGACTTCTGATGCATAACATCATTCGAAATTGCCTCGAAAATTAAATCTACCCAAGCAAATTTGTCTATTAAAAGAAAATAAACAAAAATAG